TTCCATTCATCAAATATGAATAACTCCAAATGCATCAAGTCACTTTAATCAACTTGTCCAATATAGATTTGATCCTCCACATCAATATGACCATCATAGCTTGATTAGTACCTCAACTAAATGCAAGTACTTTCTTCTTCACCCTAGCTAGGTTCCTCGGCCATCAAGCCGTCGCTTGCCCTTCACCCTTGCTTAGTACCTCGAAGCCTTTTCTTGCTATCTTCACCATCTCAAGCCGTCAAGTCACATCTTGTATTAAATCAACCATTCATTTGTATTGTTGTCTTTTTTATTTCAATTTAGCAAAGCTTCAAATATGAGACCATTCCATATGCAATCCCTCATGTCTCATTAATTAACTCTTATCGTGCTTGCTTTCACATAGATCATTGAAATCCCACAATAATAAGCCTTTGCATGAATTCCATTTGCATTGTTGTCTTGTGCTTGAACTAGATTGTTTATACAACAATACATCATTTTGGCTTTATACAATTTCATCAAGTATCTATGAGATAATCAATTTCCTGTCTAACACTTAGCAAACATGTTAGTCCTTTAATCGTGTTGTCATTCAATCATCCAAAACTCACTAAAGGGCTAGATGCACTTTCAAATGAATATAAAGATATTGCCAACACATTATGTGTTAAAAGAGATGAACAAGAGAAGCACACAATGAAAGCATACAAGATAGACAAGGAAGAAATGTGGTAGAAAATCCAAAACTTAAAGCTCGACTTCGGTACAAGTTCCTGTCCAATAAATTTCTAAATTTGGCATATAAAGCAGGCAGCTCTCTGGAATGTTGTTTGCTGTTAGGCAATGCACTTGATTGCCTTGGTAGTTAGAGGATAAATTCAATGCATCTACTGTGTTGCGAATGAAAACCCATGTACCGGCCAAGAAAAAAGTTGACCCAAATGTGTAGGAAAGAGATGCCCTTGGTGCCACACAAAAGAAAAAGGAAGTTTATTAAACAAAAAAGGAGATAGAGAACATGGTTAGATAAGTTATATAAGGTGAAGCGTAAAACAACTAAATATGTTTGTACTAGCAAACAAGAAAGCATGTATACTAGATGCTGCCCCGCGCCGCGCTTCGCTGTGGGTAGAGGGCGAAACACAACAAATATAAGCAAAGATCTAAAAAAGATACCAGACTATATAATCATGTCTCCCTAAACAAATGTCATATTCAATTCAAAGTATTTGAGCTAGAAAATATATAATCGATCAGATTCATAACCACGCCACTTCAGGGTGGATCGGTCTCCTTATGTAATGTCCTAGCTCATAATATGTATCTGCAATGGTCACAAAGCAAGCAAGAGATAACCAATAAGCTCCAGGAACAAATCAACACAGGATGAAAAAGAGGAAGAGCCTATGCCAGTTTATAAGGCATGAAATCGGTCAATCAATATGAGCATGGATATGGTTAAATCATCATATTAGAGAAAAAGGTTCCCATAGACTCAATGTAGTCATTTAAACCGTAAATAGAGCAAGATTATGTACATACCATAGGCATAGCAAAGATGATACAATGGATTTGTTTTTCTAATGACATCAAACTCTGAAAGGGTCTATACAACTCAGTAGGTATCATGTATTATTTTTAGCCTCTTTCTTTCAATTTCTTTTTTTTCTTGTATGGGGAAAGTTTTTTTTATCAAGCAAATCCTGTGGGTATGGGGAAAGTTTTTTTATCAAGCAAATACTGTGACTAATAGAAGCAAATTGTAACCCCATAAATCATGTGAGGTGGCCTAAAAGTGGACTTACATTTTTTGTTCCGGAACTCGGCGGCAACTTACTTCAAAAAGTGTACTAGAACACTGAAGGGGTCAAATTGGATGTATGAGACGCTGGAGCAAGTGAAGAGTTGTGTAATCTTTGCCTACGAATCAAGAAGACATGTTTGTAAGAGTGTAAACCAAATTTAGAATACACCTATGAACCTACAAATACTACCTAGACAAATAGAATGGGATGAAAGAAATAAGGGATATTTAGAGAGATTTTGCCAGACTCAACCCTTGCATAACAAATTTGGATTCACTTATCAGTGACTATGCAGAACATATGAAAGATTAGAATTAGTACTAATTGTTTATGCGAAGCATTTTCAAAAAATAGTGTTATGACTGTGCATTTAGTGCAGGATCAAAAAGCAGGTACAATCCTTTTTTCTAATATTTTGAATGCTATGCAAACTAATGTGGAGCGCAGTCAATATGGTTTGCAGTAAACATCCAAAAAGCGACAATGCATTAGATTGTACGTAGTAGTATACATTAGATAGCTAGAATGAATTAGGAGCTGCACTTGTAACTGGCATTGGCAGATTAGTAATGCTTACGAAAAGATTAACAACATTCAAAGTTGTAATGCATGTTTCGTACTAACTGCTACATGGATGATCAGAACATTCATCGAACAACACTGATAACAGAGAAAAAACATGTATGCATGTGTGGGCTTTTATAATCGTGTAGCTTGCATCTGTGCACATAGATATTGAATTAGAAAGATGAGTAAGCACAGATCAAAGAATACAAACACGAATTAGTTCAAAGGTGCAAAGGTAGCATAGTATAGCTAATTAAAGAGTAAGAAAAGTATATGCTCACCGAAGAGCAGCCCTTTAAATTGTTCCTACTGTTGTGATCATGGAAGCAATCTTTCAAACAGAATCTGCAGGTACATGAACAAACCGGTCTATGTAGTAGATCTTTCATTGCATATAAGGATACAACGAAGGATCATATGAACACATGTGACCAGGTCCTGTAAAGCTTATATGATGATTCCAGTTAGTTTCTTTAATACATAAACTACACAGGAAGCATAGCACGTGGACCTAAATTTAGGTCATTAGAACTTTAAACATTTAGGGAACCTAATATGAAAACCCGATATGAAGGTAAGGAGAGGCAGCAGACCATAATGGCGCAATTGTCCTCTATGGACCTTTCGAGGTAGTCCAGGTTAAAGAGGAGCATACATGTAGAGGGCCTCCATAGCCTCGACAAATATTCCACATCACTAGCTTCTGATCCATTTTGCAGGCAACCTAGAATTAGTTGGTACAAAATAACTAAACAGCCAACACATATAAATTGAATCCCAGGAAGCACAAACCTGGCGTACTTGCTGTAATGCAGATGACCTTGGCGTGGTGGGCGTTTGCAGATTGAACACCATATCAACTGGCACGCACAGTAATTGAGTACCACGAAGCTGCGCAACGGCCTACCTCGTGGTGACCTATGAAGCAAGTCGAATAGTACCTACAACACAAATGAAGGTATTCAGAAAAACAAAATCGAACTACCGGTGTACCAAATTGGAGCAGGAAGGCAGCCCTAGGGCACGTGACGACTCCCGTTTCTCTTACTGAGCAGCAACGAATGGCGTGGGGTCCCGAGTTGCTCCCGGGGTGCGGCGACGGTGTCCCCCTGCTGCTGTGCTCCGCCATGGAGGTCCACTGTGAGGCCCATCGCAGCGCGCCTCCGCGAGTGCTGAGCAAGATCCGAGTGTGAGAGGGAGAGAGAGAGAGAGAGGGAGAGGGAGGGGCGGCGCGGGGGTGAAGCGGAGGGCGTGTGGTGGAGGTGGAGGATGGCGCGAGGGGAAGAGGCGGACGGTGCTGGATGGGCCAGACGACGCGCGAGGGATTAGATCGATCATGAGAGAGGGAGAGAGAGAGGAGGGCGCGCGAGGAGGAGACAGAGGGCGTGCCATGGAGGTAGACGATCGCGAGAGGGAGAGGCGGAGTGTCTTGACGGAGGTGCAGGATTTGGCTGAGGGATCGTGATGTGGCGTGAGGGAGGAGAATCGGGATAGGAATGAGGCGACGGTCGCGAGGTCCAGGATGGCCGATTTTTTTTTTCTATTTCTGAGCGAATGGTTGCGAGGCAGGCCACTCGTCTGGGTGTAGACGGCACGCGTGGTTTCATACGTGAGGTGGGAGGTGTCGTTCAAATAGTAAAATAGTACCGAATGGTGACCGTCGGATGGATGGATCGGACGGCCAAGGGTGTGGCTGGGCATTGTAGGACTGTGACGGCTGAGAAACTAGTCATTTGATATATATGATGATATGATATGATATATGATATGTTTGCAATTGCAATATGAACATTACTATATTAGTTGCAATTTCGTTGGCAGCAAAAGAACCTCAAGTACAAGTGGAACGTGATGGCGAGAACAAAGGAGAAGCTTTGAACCGTTGGATTTGATTTGAAGGGCTGGATGCTGAAGGTAAATTATACGGTGACTTGCTAAGACTAGTTACCGAATCTGTGTCTTACGGACCCGTCTCCCGTCTCCCCGCCTCGCCATCCCCGCACCACCCCTCCGGCCGCCGCATCGTCGCCGCCGCTCCTCGCGGTCTGGCCCCTTGCCTCGCCGTCGCCGTCTCCGCCGCCCTCTCGGCCCGGCCCCTCGCCTCTCCGTAGCCTCCGTTCGGCCTGCCTTTCAGCGCGGGTGAGGAGGCGCCGGAATCTGGGCTGTCGCCGAGCCGTTTCGAGCCCAGCTCGATCACTTCTCTGCTCAACGGAAAGGAGACGGATTCGTGGGTCGTCAGCAGGCGCGGCGGCGACTTCATCGGGTGTTCGGCCGCTTTCGGCGCGCAAAGCGGACGACGCGTGCGCCCGCCCCCAGGGATGACCGGCGGTTGAGATCCGGTCCGAGCTCGCTTCTTCGTCTTCCTCTCCAGCTGCGTGCCCCAGTCCGAGCTTGTCTTCTCCTTTATCTGTCCACGATTCGTTTCAAAGCTCGCTTCCTAGCGAAGTCAGCTTCGAATCGACGCGTGGCCAGATAAATCTACTACAAACAGGGCCTTCCTCAGCGCGCTCTTGCACGGCCGATAGTGGCACGGGTTCGCGATTTGGCGGCAGAGTGCTGCGACGGCGGGAGGTAGTGTGCCGCCAGCACGGTGAACTGCCGCTCGTTGCTGCGGTACGCTATTGATCCCTAGATTTCCCAACGAACATGGCGGAGGCGGCTGCCCACTCCTCCAACTCGGCCGTCGACGGTGGCGGCGGTAGCGTTCAAAACGATTATCCCACCATTGACCCGACCTCGTTCGACGTGGTGCTCTGCGGCACGGGCCTCCCGGAGTCTGTCCTCGCCGCCGCCTGCGCCGCCGCTGGGAAGACGGTCCTCCACGTCGATCCCAGCCCGTTCTACGGCTCCCTCTACTCTTCCATCCCACTCTCCTCCCTCGCCTCCTTCCTATCCCCTGAGGCCTCCCCACCCACCTCGTCCGCGGCGGCCGCCGCCTCCGATTCGCGTACCGTCGTCGTCGATCTCCACCGACGGAGCGTGTACTCCGATGTCGAGACCTCGGGGGCGGCGCCAGAGCCGGCGAGGCGGTTCACCATTGACCTGGTGGGGCCCCGTGTGCTGTACTGCGCCGATGAGGCAGTGGACCTCCTCCTGCGGTCGGGGGGCAGCCACCATGTGGAGTTCAAGAGCGTGGAGGGGGGCAGCCTCCTCTACTGGGAGGGCTGCCTCTACCCAGTGCCAGACTCGAGGCAGGCCATCTTCAAGGACACCACACTCAAGCTCAAGGAGAAGAACATCCTCTTCAGGTTCTTCAAGCTTGTGCAGGCGCACATTGCTGCCGCATCAGCTTCTGCTGATGAGACGAGAGAGGGGGATGCATCTGCCAAGATACCTGAGGAGGACCTGGATCTCCCCTTTGTTGAGTTCCTCAAGAAACAGGGGCTTCCCCCCAAGATGAGAGCGTAAGGGTGTTATGAATTGGTCGAGTATATGCTATTTTTAGCAGCATGACTAAGATTGGGCTCGGTGTGGTGTTTGCAGGGTTGTGCTGTATGCGATTGCCATGGCGGATTATGATCAAGATGGTGCTGACCCTTGCGAGAAATTGATTACAACGATGGAGGGAATCCAGACCATTGCTTTGTACTCCTCGTCCATTGGGAGGTGAATTAGCTTGTCTGAACTTTTCCTTGTCCACTTTGGAAAACCATATATATATATCATATTATATAATGCTTTGTTTATTGATCCACCTTTCATTTAGCTTTAGAGAAGATATATGTAATCTAACATGTAAAACCTTAAAATAACATAGCTGTGGTGGTATAATTTTACATCTTATTTTTCACCACACCAGGTTCGCTAATGCAGAAGGCGCTTTCATTTATCCTATGTATGGGCATGGTGAGCTGCCTCAGGCTTTCTGTCGCTGTGCTGCGGTTAAGGGCGCCCTATATGTAAGATGATCTTCACAAGTATGCGTGGCAATGTTTTTTGTGCTCTAGCTTTGGCTATAGTTTCTTTAGTCGCATGATTGTAGCATCTTTCATCCCAATTATCTGTAATTGGTACATTGCAATTTGATTGCAACCCAAACATTTAGGAACAATGATGTGGTAGTCCTGGGCTTGACATCTCTCTGCTGGAATGGCATCTGACGCCTTCTTTACTTCTTTCTTTTTAATAACTTGTGCTGGTTTCCTCATACTTAGCCTTAACAACATATCTTATTGTTCAGGTGTTGCGGATGCCAGTGGCTGCAGTTCTTATGGATGAGGTATGATAATAAACTAAAATCTATGGTGGCCATATTCCTGCAAATTTGTTTTTGCCTGATGTCATTATCATACACTGGATCCTTTTGAAATCTTGCTTATTTCATCTATGTTTCATCTTTATGCACAGCTTCTATTTGCGTTACTAACCTGAAATAATTTATACTTTATTGATCAGGAAAAGAAGCATTTTGTAGGTGCCAGATTGGCATCTGGTCAGGATATTTTGTGCCAACAATTGATATTCGACCAGTCTTATAAGATTCCTACCTTGGATGTCCCATTTGATGGTTCAGATTCTCACTTTCCAAGAAAAGTTGCGAGAGGGGTATGCATAATTAGCAAGTCTGTGAAACAGGGATCATCAAATGTTCTGGTTATTTTCCCTCCAAAATGTAAGGACAACTATTCTTTTACTTGTGTTTATGCCAGATCTTATTGATGTATTGGTGATCTTGGTTCTCTTTGTTGATCCCATTTCTACTCTTAATTTAGCACTAGAAGAGCAGCAGGTCACAGCTGTTCGACTTCTTCAGTTGAGCAGCAATCTCGCAGTATGTCCTCCTGGGATGTAAGCTATCTATCCTATCATCATAGTATGCATCAATGTAATTCTCTCATGTACTTGTTATATCTACCAGTCTACCGCCAGGAACCACTATGTTCAAAATTGCCCTATAATATAGGCAAGTAACTTACCTCACAAGCTAATCTCACTTGCAGGTTTATGTCATATCTGTCTACTCCCTGTACGGATGTCTCAGCCGGAAAGCAATGCATAAAAAAAGCAATAGATGCTCTTTTCAGTCCTCAGGCTTCAGATGGTTCGGAAGGCCATCTTGAGACAGCCAGTGAAAGCACTGGGGATGTGAAACCAACACTAATCTGGAGCTGTGTGTATGTTCAAGACATCACACAGGTGCATTTCTATTTGTTATCAATATGGACTGTATTCATGTTGGTTTCAGTACTATAAACACATTGGTTTTTCAGGTTATATATATGTGTTTTTATATTTAAAGCATTTGGTGTCCTGTCTTGCACTATCAGGAAAAAAATCAGGGAACATCTTTATTGTCATGCCCCATGCCTGATGAATACCTGGACTACAGAAATGTACTGGGATCAACAAAAAAGGTATTACATTCTGTGAACTTTTTCTGTTTCTTGTATGATGTACACATGTACCTGCATGAGAAATTAGGTCTGAAACTCTGGTTGATCTGTAATTCTGTCAGTATCAGATGGTTATAACAATTTTCTTCGTAATATACATCAAGAGTACGCTCTTTTGTGACAGCTTTAGAATGGATGATACTTCATTTACACCACTAGCTCTGTCCTGACGAATTTGTTTTCTTATTTTCTTTTACAGTTATTCGCAAGTATCTATCCTGATGAAGAGTTCTTACCTAAAAAGTCAGCTCCTGTATATGCCGATGATGACTCTGATTCTGCAGAGTAAAACCATCTTTCTAGAGGTATGTCTTTGCATATGGAACTTTCACTAGGAGCTCACATTCTAGCTTATTACATATGAAAATATTTTCTGATACTGAGACAATGTTTGCTCCTATGCAACATACAGCATATGGAAATATTAGTATCTTTGCTCATTGGAATATAAATGTCATGACATGCTGAACTTTGTGCCATTTGTTCATATTGATGAAATTATCACCGGCTATAAATTTTGGTGATTAAGATTTTTGAACAATTTTTTAGACTCCAGACCGATAGGCCCTGCTTTATAGAGAGCAATGTTTTGCTGGGGAGACCAGCTTACAAAGGGTAGCACTAAGTTATACCATTACAAGTTTAAAGCGGGCTCTCTCTCTCTAAACTCCCTCTTCCTCAAACAAAACCTGAAAGATAAGATACCCAACATTGCATTCAAAGTTGACACGCTCCCACTATAGCTAACAGGAGCTTCAGCTAACCGGCTGCAGCGATTATAGCCGATCCATCATGTCCTCCGTTACCCTTGGCACCCAGCCTTGTTATTCTGCCTTGAGGAGAATGCTCCATTTCTGCATAAGAAGTAAAGCACGATGAACAACGACAATGGGTGAACTCACCGTTGTATTCCTAAAGACTAACTCCATTTCTTAACAGCCAAAGGCTCAAACCTATACATCCCAGCAAGGCAGCAAGTATACCAAAATCACCCTTTCTTGCCTCTTACTAGAATGTAATATGCTCAATTGAAACTCCTCTATACTCATTGGCATGGAGTTCCATCCCAGCACATCTCTGAAGGACCACCAGACACAATGTGCAATGGCACATTCAAAAACAATATGGTCACAAGTCTCTCTCAACCCGCATAACTTGCAATTTTCCTTGTCCGGCCAATTGTGGCTAACCAATGGGACTGCTGATTTTTTTTTTGCGAAACAGTAACTTTATTAAAACTTAAGTAATGTCTTTACAAGAAAGAGTGACAATCCACTCCGGAAAACAAGCAAAAAACACCTGACACTCCCTAGACCTAATCGCAAACTGCGCCAAATCATGCGCCAAATTATTCTGGACTCTACTAATCTGAGAAAACTCAATCCTACTCAACTAATCCCCAACCTCGCGCGCCTCAATGAGTTGCCAGATCGCCGAACGGTCACGGGTGTTCTCTTTGAGCTTGGTGACCACTGAGTGGCAATCTGATTCCAGAATCATCGGGGTCTCCGGCCATCTATGCGCCAGATGAACACCTTACAGACAAGCACGCACTTCAGCTTGTTCGGCATCCCTGCAATGGAATATGACACGCCAGGCGGTTAGTTTCAAAGCTCCAACCCAATCTCTAATTACCACTCCAATCGCAGCGTCGCCGGTCAGCTGATTGAAAGCAGCATCAACATTGATTTTGAAAGTACCCTGTGGTGGAGGACTCCATATCTTCTTAACCTGACCCACTGCCGGAACCTTGCTTTTACTCGTACTCGGTAGCAGACTGCGTTTTCCTTTGTTATCTGAAGGGTCTCCCTGTTGCTGGATGGTGAATAGTGAGTGCATATAACGATTCAGAAAGATGACAGAGCTACCGATGAAGGCAAGCACCCTCATGTATAACTTTATTTGCAGTATATGTTCCAAGTATGCCAGAGAAGCAAGAAGAAGCTAGTCAATACCTCCATGGAATAGGTGAAAACAATCTGCAGTAACCACTCGGTCCTGTTCTGATGGCAGGGAGCAATGGTCTCAAATTGCGAGCGAAGCGCAGCAGCATGGGGGCACCTGATGACCGCATGGTAGGCATCTTCGCCTGAGTTCCACACAGCTGACATATATCCTGCTGCTCAAGATGACGGTGCTTCTTATTGACACGGGTAGGCAAACTATTGTTGACAATTTTCCAGATAAAAACATTAACCTTAGAAGGAACTTTAACACTCCATACCTTCTTCCATACCGCGACCCTGTTCTGAACTTGAGCTGGTCCCAATCTGACCGACACCATACTGATTCCAGACAGCAAGCCTGTATGCACTTTGGACAGAGAACAAGCCATTTTTTCTCATAATGCCAAGCAACAAAATCAGAAGTACTAGACGGCGGCAACTTGATCTTAAAAATCTCTGAAGCATCACAAGGAAAAAAAGTACCTGCATACGGCTGTTTCATCCGATGTACCATTATGAATCAAGTGGTGCACCCATCGCAGTCTACACGATCGTCTTGGACCAATTGGTTTCAGACCATGACCTCTTGGGAGCCAATTGTCACGCCAAATTTGAGTGGATCTGCCATCTCCTATCCTCTTGATGACGCCTAACTTTAACAATTCCAGCCCATACTCAACTGCTCTCCATGTTTGGGATGCTTCTCCCGCAGGAACAGAATCTAGCAGCAAGCCCTCAGGAAAATATTTTGCTTTAAGAACTCTTGCGCAAAGGCCATCAGGATAAGCTAGCAACCTCCATGCTTGCCGGGCGAGCAACGCTTGGTTAACAAGTCTGAGGTCCCTGAACCCCATAGGCCCATACCTCCAAACCCTTTTGGCATTAACATTTTCTCCCATGGGATCCATTGCATCTTTCTTCTACCATTTTCGGCTCCCCACTAGAAAGCACGTATTTGCTTCATGAGTTCGTCACACAATGTCAGGGGCAGCTTGAAAACACTCATAACATAGATAGGTAAGGCCTGGGCAACCTACTTGATCAACACTTCCTTCCCAGCAGCCGACAAAAACTTTTCCTTCCACGCCACCATCCTCTTATGAAAACGTTCCTCGAGGGGTTGAAACAGTCCCCGCAGGACCCATCCATGAGGGGTTGGGAGGCCCAAATATTTTGCTTCAAAATCTAATCTTTCCACCCCCAGCGTCAGGTGCACTTGATCTGTGATCTGCTGGTCAAAATTCCCATTAATCAACAGAGAGCACTTATTGGGACTGAGAAGCTGACCTGAACATTGCTCAAAGGTAGAGAGAACATCCTTGATAGCCAGCGCCTGATGCACAATGGCTCTGAAGAATAATAGGCTATCATCCGCGAATAACAAATGCGACACACTCGGTGCCCTCCGACACACCTTTACTCCATCAATATTTCCCAGTCGCTCATTGCGCTTCAAAAGAGTAGACAGGCCATCAGCCACAAGCAAGAACAAGTATGGTGAAAGCGGATCACCTTGCCTTAGACCACGTGTAGGGGAGAAGGGCTGCGACGGCAACCCATTGAAGCAATCAAGGAACACTCTTACTTTTAATTTGCTGCTCTGCTATGGAAAACTAGTTGAATTAAATAAGGGAAGTAGGGAGCACATACCTGTGACCGAAAAACAATACATCAAATGCACTTCCATGCTGACAGCCTGGGATGTCTGAAAACTTTGTATATTGTCTTGAGAACAAGGCCGTGACCAATGCAAAATATGAAAGTGCTTATTGCTAAGAATTTGCTGTGGGGAATGGGAACCATATATCTTTGTGCACTAAGTATTTTTTCCCCAATACTGACAGGGCTTTATCATTTGGTTGGAGAACGCCGTCACTGAAGATGCATGAAGGCATCATCCTCTATGTCGTGGTGTTCCTTGAAGTTCAGAGGGCAAAAGAGCGTCGCAAGGGGAGCCTGTGGGGTTGATGGGCAGTTGTGCTGGATTTCCAATGTACAGGTGGCCACTGGCTGTTCAGAGGGCATTAGTAGGTAACAGTTGGAAGGAGGGATGTGGTAGCATATTCATATTCACCAAATGCTACATGGACACATTCTGCGATGCTCGGTGCAAATGGCCTTGTATGGACTCGCAGACCTTGTTGTACACAGGACCACAGCAAATACGGGATACATGCTGAACGCTCGATATGATTCCCCAATTAAGTCATTTGAACGAGAGAGACGGTAAAAGGGTATTCAAACGACTTCTCCCCCCTGAGGGTAGTAAAACTGTTGATTGTATTTTTGGACGGCTAAAGCTGTGTGCAGACTGCGTTTTCACGGTACTCCCTCTGTTCTAAATTATTAGTCGCTTTAACTTTTTTTTTGATACATCGAATTTGCTATGTATCTATATATGCATTATGTGTAAATACATAATAAATTCGATATACCAAAAAAGTCAAAGTGACATGTAATTTGAAACGGAAGGAGTATCTTTGTTTTTGGTTGTTTTTGGTGAGGTTTTGGTCTTCACCTTGCAGAATTGGGTGCCATACCCGAGCCTATAGTAATGTGTTTTTTTATCGATCATCAGTGTGTTTTTTCGCAACATTTTGTTTGTTTGTTGATGAGTTCTGAAAGATCGGCGTTGCATCTGTTTAGTTTTCTACAAGAACAATCGTAGGACGACACGGGAACATGGGCTCATTGCACAAGGTCAGAAGGATAATCTTCTTATCTTGCCCAACCAGATTCCACGTCAGTAACGGCTCCCATCCCATCTCAGTGCTGCAAAACGTTTGCTTCGCTGAAAAAAGCCATAGCTGAAAGTAGGTACTATTCGTCGATTCGTTACGAGAGAAAAACGCTCTTCCTTCGCTCACTCGTAACACAAGCGAACAGGGCCAAAGCTGCTCTCGGTGGTCGGAGCCCGAAACCCAGACGCAACCCATCCTCCGTCCTGGACTCGCACCTCGCTTTCCTCCCTCCCTCCCATTCTCACCCGCCGAAGCTTCTAGGAGCTCATCGGCTGAGCCCGAGCTAACAAGCTCACCGGCGGGCAGGATGCTGGCGGCGTCCACCAAGGTCGGCTCTAGGCTGGCCTCTCCACACGCCTCCTCGTCCGCTGCTGCTGCTGCGGCGGCGGCGCTGGCGAGCTCCCCCGTGCTGGGCTCTGGGATGCTCTCAGGCGCCGGGTTCGGCGAGACGGGAAGTCATCACGCGGCGGACGCGCCGCCCCCACTGCCTTGCAGTTCCTCGGGCGATTCAAGGTGAGCATCAAACTTCAGAATTCAGAACCGCCGAGGGCCAGACTTGGGTAGTGCCATTGCTTTATCTCATGATCGGGAGCCTCAACTGTTCGTTCGCAACTGATCTGATGACTACCTGAATCAATTGCTCCCTTGCCGCCAGGAATTAGCTTCCCAATGATTGATCAACTCCTAACTCACACCTTGCAAACAAGGGAAATGTGCTCAGTGATTTCTCAGGATCGGAACAGTTGGTTTCCTCATCATTATTTCTTTCAGCTAAATCTGCACTACTTTGTAATAGGGAATATTATTATCTATGGACGAGGCTGGTGAATCAAAGTCAGTCAACGCTACATCGAGGCAAAGTGACTGCTGCATTGGGCCACCATGTTTTTGGTGCAGGTGGTTCCTCACGGAATCAACATATCTACAGATATTTTTCATCTTCTTCTCATCAAGGGAGGATATGGGCTGGGAGCAAGGTGTGTTCAAGAATCATACATACCCATTCATTGGTTTGGTTTACTTACTATTCTTTTGTGGACTTCGGAGATGATTTGACTGTTGTTTTGAGATACTTGTTCCAAACAACTTGATGATGTGCTTTGCATTAGACTTTCAATCATTATTATTTTAAGTAAGTTCCTATTCCAGGTTCTACGTGACCTGCCAGAGTATGTAAAAATTGTGGAAGTAGGGCCACGAGATGGTCTACAAAATGAAAAGGACATTGTACCGACACCTTTAAAGGTTGAGCTTATACGAAGATTGGCCACATCCGGATTACCTGTTGTGGAGGCAACAAGTTTTGTATCTCCAAAATGGGTACCTCAGGTATAGGCTTTATAAGAGCTCTCGTGATCGCACAGATTAGACACCTGTTTTATCTGCACCTACTGTAGACATTGATTTTCTCAGGACCCCGATTTACATCTTGGGTTTTTTCTTCAATATGTTATTGAATTTTCATGGAGCAAGCAGGACTGAGGCTGTTTATCTATCTTTTTAGATATATTTGTTGCTAGTTATGTTGTGCAACATTCCAGAGTTGTGAAACAATTAATGCTCCTGTCTATCATAAAGATGATTTTCTTGTGCCAATATGTCATAGTAATGTCGTATTTCTTCCAAAGTATTAAAGATTTTTTCCCCTCCTAAACTAAACTGGTATAGTATTTTTTTTCTATTGTTTATTAGTAGAAGAACAGTCATTTGGATTGGGTTCTGACTTATTTACATTGCCTAAATGAGTGTGAGCATAATCTTACTCTTTCATTGGAGTGTCACCAGAAGATTTCATGGAGTGAACATAACATCATGGAGTTTTTCAGTTACACAAACCCCCTTTCCAGCGTCACCAGAAGATTGCTGCAATATGGTGGTTACTCTGTGTGGATCCTTGGCAGGGATATGCCACTCTCTAAAGGCTGAATGGAATTTATGATGTTAAGTCATGCCAGTAGAATCAGTTGGTACCTTGGATCCTATAGAACCTCTGTATCTTTGTTTTTCTCTTCACAACTAATATTCCTCTAGTATCGTATCCATTGGGACGGAGCACATCTGTTTTCAAAGGTTATAAATAGCTTCTCCAGTTTAATTGATTCTGTATATGTTCTGCTGCTGGATATTGGCACTGTTGCCTGGTCGCAGTACCCTGATATGAATTTGAGTTTCCAATAAAATGGATAACGTTGGGATTGTGGATACTTGTATACTTTTAAAGGAAGGAATTATCTAAATAGAGGAAACATTACAAAGATGATGCACAAGATCTGAAAAGATTTACTGAAAATAAGAAAAGTTTACGAGTGTCAGATTGACATAAACAATTAGTTTCACTGCACCATGGAGAAAACTACTGGAGTTAAGTTTCAGGCAGGATAATTATCGGAATTAAGGATGGAAGTGAATCTCTTGATTGTACTCTTTTATGATTGGTTCATCGTTCTTTTCATATTTACAGGCATTGGTGTCTTCTTATGTTCGCCTATCCAGTCCTTATTTCACTAAAATTACCTTTCTGTTTCTTGTCTGTTAATTTAATGCTGCCATGTAATGACTAGTCAGTCTCAATAATACTATTTTTTTATTATCATAGTTAGCTGATGCGAAGGATGTTATGGAAGCTGTTCAGACTATTGAGGGTGTACGTCTTCCTGTATTGACCCCAAACCTTAAGGTGAATTATTTCACTCAGATGCCCTTTCTTACTATTTTTATGGATATCATATATTGTACATTTTCTGCCTCATTCAGTATCCTATTATTTGCCTTGGTCACCACTGTCAGGGATTTGAGGCAGCTATTGCAGCAGGGGCGAAGGAAATCGCAATATTTGCATCAGCTTCTGAAGGATTTTCTAAGTCAAACATAAACTGCACCATCAAAGAGAGCATTGCCCGTTATAATGATGTTGCTCTTGCTGCAAAAGAGAAAGAAATTCCTATCCGAGGGTGAGCTCTTCTACTCTGTTGCACTATCAAGTTTAGTTCTTCACACTTTCAAAATATCAGGATATGCTTGTACAAGTTACTAACACAGTAGCTAGTCTAGTACACATTTTATTATTTGCTGGCTGCAAATACAGTCTACTAGATTTTGTAGATAAATCCTAAACAATAACCCATGGGCCAAAAGAGCTAGGTCATCGTGTAAACCAATAGTAAACACTAGCATGAGTCATGAATATAACTTGCCTGAGAAGAGGCACGCTACACCTTCGATCCTGCTAGCTTGAGCAATTCATGATTTCAATCTTTACTCCCAGTTTGCCACCTCTTCAGCCTGCACCTATCTTCAATGATGTTTACGTTTCTGACCATGTTAATTTCCTGCTTTTGCTGCGAGTCTCTTGGCCAATCTTGTATACATATTAATGTGATCATGAGAGAATTTTGACAAGTGCATGTTTTTTTTTTAAAAAAAAAAATATTGGCATAGTGTCACGTGTTATGATGTTGGCTGAAATATTTTGGGTTTGCTACATGTGCTGAAGTTGATATAATGTTGCTCCTTGTGGCGAGAAAATGTAGGTATGTTTCTTGTGTGGTTGGATGCCCAGTAGATGGACCAGTACCACCTTCCAACGTAGCTTATGTAGCGAAAGAACTTTATGACATGGGCTGCTATGAGGTTTCACTTGGTGATACCATTGGAGTCGGTACCCCAGGTGATATTACTTACATTAGCACGCCTATTTTTGTTCCTTTAAAATATATTAATATTTTGTTCTACTGAGCTAATTTGTTTATGCTGCTGTTAGACATTGATTTGCTTAAATAATTTTTTGGTGAGGGTAACGCTGTCTTTCTAGAACTAGAGCTAGACTTTGGAGATGCTTATTGGTATGACACTAATCTATTTCATTAGATCCTTGAACAAATAACACAACCGGCCCTTCATATAATTTCAAAGATGGAAACCATCAAAACATCATGGTAAACCATCAAGCGTGCGTCAACCACAATCTTCTTTTTATGTCCGATCAAGTTCCGTTATTTTGCTTGATTTCCATTTTCCAGCTGCAGCCTTGTGGACTTCTGAAGATTCTGAACAGTTTCAACTTTTCTCCTGTATCCAGGTACCGTGGTTCCAATGCTTGAGGCAGCTATGTCCGTCGTTCCCGTGGAGAAGCTTGCTGTCCACTTCCACGACACCTATGGCCAGTCCCTCTCAAATATTCTCATCTCTCTCCAGGTAACAACAAACTGAGAGTACCATTTACGCAATCTAAAGTGACAGTGATCAAACCATGTCCTCTTGCCAATCAGATGGGAGTCAGCGTGGTGGACTCCTCTGTCGCCAGCCTCGGTGGCTGCCCGTACGCAAAGGGTGCGTCAGGGAATGTGGCGACGGAGGATGTAGTGTACATGCTCAACGGGCTGGGCATCAAGACGGGCGTCGACCTGGGCAAGGTGATGGCCGCCGGCGAGTTCATCTGCAAGCACCTGGAACGCCAGTCTGGGTCCAAGGCAGCCACCGCTCTAAGCAAAGTTACAGCGACGGCTTCGAAACTCTGATGCTAGACTAATTTACCATGATCCCCTACTGCAGATAATTGCAGTAAAATTAGCGTAAGGTAATAAATAGACTGAGGCTATTCAAGGCAGAAGGAAATAAATACAGCAATTTGATTCTTCCCTCAGAGCTAGTAGATTTCTGTTTATGTCCATCTAGCAAAATAAGCGCAGCATTGCCAACCATGTCTGTCTAGCACAATGAGCAAACGTGACCACTTTCACCGGAAAGACTCCCAACACTATCAGCAAACGGAAGTGGTGCGTCAGTTCGTTCTGGCTTCCAATCATTACATGTTCACTCAGCAAACCGAAATGGGGAGTCAGTTCGTTCCAGCTTCCAGTCATTACATGTTTACAACATCCAGATCTCATCTACGCGCTCAGGACACAATGGAAAATGCCTAATGCATTTTACGAAAGTTGATGGGTTAGCTGTGATCTCTATTGCGGTTTGCAAACTTACAGCAGATTCAACCTCAATATCTTATGTACCTGATTGGGACCTCCTAAGCAAACTGAAATATTTGCAGTACCATCAATCAATTCAATACAGAAAATGGCAAGTCAATCAGCAACCACCATAGATATCAAACTGGGGTTTTGCTCGACTTCCCTGATGGCAGCACAAGGCCTTTCCCATAAGCTGCTAACAGAAGAGCCTCTGCTCACCCTTACAAATGGCAAGTCAATCGGCAACCACCATAGCCATCAAACTGGGGTTTTGCTGAACTTCCCTGATGGCAGCACAAGGCCTTTCCCATAGGATGCTAACAGAAGAGCCTCTGCTCGCCCTGCATAAGGACAAAAACACATCACCGGCCTCAGTCAAACTATACAAAATATATTACCAACTACTCTCGATGAGTCTTTAATAAAATGGATTATGCTACCCATTAGTCAAAAACTATATAACTCATCTCTACTTTGGCTAATGTGCATTAAATCCACAAGAGCATACCTCCCTCCCAATTTGTCACAAATATTAGCTAATGTGCATTGCAAACCAGAGCAATTTTGGTTTGACTACTTTTTCAGGGCACCTTGCACGACAGCACACAGAAAAGCAACATTTATACAACATATTTGCATCAAATTTCTTCCAGATGGTCAGGCAGAATAAGCATTAACAGAAAAGAGAGACGCTAACAATAATGTTAGCCCTCAGTATCAAAACTACTTGAAGATAGGCAGTTAGCGTTAGGAGGATGCATACCATGGTGTTTTTCAACTTCAAGGACCGAGCTTTGTCAGGGAACAAAATTGAAGCAGCTTGTCTGCTATCATCCTGTAAGAATTATACAGTGGAAATATAAGAGAACTATGTTAGATCTGGAATTAGCAGACTAACAGAAGATCGATGCTGGCAAGACCGCAAGACAAACACTTCAGACTAAAGGACAAAATTGTGTTCAGATGCCTAAGTAAACAAAAAATCTACAAATATGTTTGTTTTTATCTGACTCTGACATCAATGTATAACGAAAGGGTTACACCAGAATTTGATTAAAACATTCATTTTCCCTATAAGACTTGGCTATCCTACAATAAGGTTTACTCATTCAACTAGCATTTCTCTTTATATTCTTTTAAGTAGACATCTTGCTGCACAACCTTACTGACATATAACCAGAATAGCGAAGAAAAGGTTGGGCTGGAGTAGACCTGATCATGGGGCACTTGACCTGACCCGCCCCAAAAAAAACCCCGAAGTGACCCGACATGATTTTCAACCCATGACCCAACCCAACCTGAAAAAACCCCAACCCAAAGTAGGAAAACCCGAGAAATAGCTGGCAGGTTAGGCTCAGGCCAAAGATTTTGACTAGACATTTTTTTTCTAGCCCAACCCGACCTGGAGTTTGATCAAGTCTAGTAGGCTGGAGTTGGCATTAGTGGCATATATTAATTAACAAAAACAGACAAACTTTCTACTAAATGAGGGGCATGAAGCTATTGTATATGCCACATAACAAGAGAAACAAACCTTTGGTGTTTCACTTCGGGACAGCCCAAAGTAAGCCTTCCATGTCTGGGATGCAACTGGAACAACTGAAAACCCAGAAGCCACTAGAGAAGCAATCCACAAGCCATATGAGAAACCAGTGCTCCACCATCCCTGTATGCCAGAAAACAATAGAAGGGAGATTATTGGCAAATTCTGGAATAATTCAAAACACATGAAATTCAATATTCAATCGGCATGACTAGGTTCCATGTTCAATAAAATCGTGGACCAGGTGTAGCTAGATCCCATTATCTTAGTGGCATGCCTAGCTTCGGCTTATGCGAGAATTAGCTTAGAAAACATGAATATACAAATGCCAAGGACATTGTTCAGTAGTATTGGTCATCATCCTGTTCCACTAAGTATAGATATAGATAGCACTATAATCCTCAAAATTACTCTCATAGGCACTACCTGACAATAACTTCTGCAAGAATTGACACACAAAAAATCAGTTTACTAACTACAATAATCTTGAACAACGAGCATTTAGCGGCATATTGTTCGGGAGACAAGGAACAAACCAGCTTTCCATCAGTTGGAAACGGGCTAGACTTCTCAATGTATGCCATAGTTCCTTCAAAAATGACAGAAAAATACTGTAAACAGCTGTGTATTCGACATAATGGGTATAATGATGAGAGAATATGGTCACTGATTTACTACAACTACTGAGTCTTATAAGGGTGGCCATAATGCCACTAAGTTTTCTCCAGGGACAGTTACCAGGAGGCGCATCAAGGCCGCGGAGCAGTTGGATAATGGACTTGGTGTCCAGGCGTTTACGGATGACCTCTGACACCACAATGTGCACGAACGGATTGTCGAACACCTGCATGATGCGAATTTGCTTTTACTAAAGCACGCTTGCGCAAAACACATATGAATGCTAGCCTATCCGACTATCCGAGCATGGCTGCCGGTCGAACCTGAGAGGAGCCGTCAGGCGAGAGGACGGCGATGGCGCCTCGAGTGTCGGGATCCACCCCAATCGCCCACCCGTTGGGGGCGGCGTCAGCACCGGCGACGTCGTCGGTCGGCAGCAGCGAGAGGGAGGCGAGCCAGGGGTCCCGGGGCTCAGCCTCCGCCAGGAGCTTCGCCCGGGCCTTGGCACTCGCGCGGGACCTCGGGGTACGCGCGGCGGCTGCAGGAGCGGGCTCGCGGCGGCAGCGGCAGCGGCGGGGGCGGAAGGGCGGGGAAAAGAAGGCGGCGGCGGCGGCGGCGGCGGACCAGTGCGGCACGGAGCGGCGGAGGACGGCTGTGCGGAGCGCATTCATGGGGTCTTGGTTGGCAACCGCGGCCGATGCAGCTCCGACCGCCGCGGCGGCAGCTGCCATAATTCGAAGGGCTGCAGCGGGTTTGGAGGGAGAAGAGGGTTTTGCTTGTTCCGCGGCCGGGGATAAGGCATCGCCAGGCAGGCAGGCAGGCACGGCACTTCCACGGGACCTAGTGAAGGAATTATTGTATATATTTTCAGTTCGATTTGGTATCTATAATCTCTATATCAAATATACTCTCGCCCTCCAAAAATAAGTTTTCATCTGGCTTCATGAGAAACGAACAATCTCAACTTTGGCCATATATTTAAAAATACTAATATTTATAATATTAAGATAATTTAAGTTTGATTAACTTCTCGAAATATGAGATGAAGACTTTTTTTTGAACGGAGTGAGTGCACTTTTATTTAGTGAATTTTAGGATTTGTTTGTTGGATTCGAGAAACTTCGTTCGGGTGTTTTAAAACCCTCTCCAACACCCAAAATGTGTACTTTACATTGGAACGGTGCTCTGTCAGGTTTTTTTTTGTCTCCGATGGTTTTAGGACAAAGACTTTTAAGACTGATATATATATATTGGAGGCTAAATTTCCTGACGTGTACTCCCTCTGTCATTTTTAAGTGTCGGGTATTCATGCTGGTCAAAATTTCTTAGATTTAACTAGGTTTATAAAGAAGAACGGGCCTGGTGTAAGCGGTAGAGTCTTACCGGCTATGACCGAAAGGTACCAGGTTCGAGTCGTGGTCTTCTCGCATTACACAGGCGAAGGCTTGCCGCTGACACTCTTCCCCAAACCCCGCACAGAGAGCGGGAGCTCTCTGCACTGAGTATGCCCTTTTTTAATTAGGTTTATTATAAATATTAGCAATATTAATATATCCAAATAAGTTTACTATGTAAATAGATCCGACAATCTATCTAATGATACTAATTATGTACTATAAATATTTATATTTTTTATATATTTAGTCAAATTAAGTACTATGTTAAAAGAAACGGAGAGAGCAGGCACTAGGGCTCTATACCATGAGACGATATATGCTGAAGTCAGAAAAGGAAATAGACATAGATGACCATTGGCAAAGGTAACAAATCTAACAAGACAAACCAACAATAAGAAAAAGCGAAAAATCAACTCACCTATGCGTTGCTCATCTAAACTGTTGTTCAGAGCATTTAAGCACGGTGTTGTTAACAACCAACTCTCTCCTGCGACTACAACTCAATTCACTCCGGCAACTCTGCCACCGCGGACTAACGAGGTCCCGGTTCCTTCTCAAATCTCAAATACATTCTTACAAATTAGATGATGCCCTGCGTCTCTCCTCTTCCTTCCCTTATCTACTCTACGCTCAACTACTCCCCCTTCAGGGCAACACAACAGTTACACGCCCATTCTGGGCCCTAGAACTTGGCACTCTTGCGACGAGCCCGGTTACTCCTCTTTGGCTGTTGGGCCTCTTGGGGACGGCCCAGGTGAGGGACGGTGACATCCCCCTCCCCTTGAGTTCCGGCATGTCCCCACGCCGGCGCCGCTGGGAACTGTTGGCGTAGAGCTGCTTCGTCCTCCCACGTGGCTAGCTTGGTGTCGAAGCCGGACCACTTGATGAGCACTTGTGGAACCTCACCATCGTGCCTTGAGTGAAGACGACGCTGGAGCACAACTTCTGGCACCTGGTGTTCGTCGTCGACGTCGGGGAGTGAAGGAAACACCGTGTACTTGCTTGAGGGAGCGGGCTTGGGCAGCGACACGTGGAATACCGGATGGATTGTCGACGAGGAAGGTAGCTTGAGCTTGTATGCGACAGTGCCGATCTTGTCAATCACCTGGTATGGGCCGAGATAGCGGAAGGACAGCTTCTGGTGTGCGCGCGGCGCAAGCGACGTCTACACGTACGGCTGGAGCTTGAGGTAGACGTAGTCGCCGATCTGGAACGACCGCTCGGAACGTCGCTTGTCGGCCTGGTGCTTCATGCGTTGCTGGGCCCGGAGAAGGTGTTGACGCACCGAAGACAGCATCGTGGCACGCTCGCCCAACACGACATCCACTTCGGTAGAAGCTGATACAGAATCAACAGAGAGACCGAAATGGCGAGGAGGATGTCCATACAATACCTCGAACGGAGTCATATTGATGGAAGAATGATGGCTGGTGTTGTACCAGAACTCCGCCAAAGTAACATTTGATCCATTTCCGCGGATAGGAGCTGACGAAACAGCGCAGGAATGTTTCCAAGCACTGGTTTACACGTTCGGTCTGGCCGTCCGTCTGCGGGTGGTATGCCGAACTCATAGCAAGTGTTGTATGGGAGAGGCGGAACAGCTCTCGCCAGAATAAGCTTGTGAAGATCTTGTCGCGGTCACTGATTATATGTGTTGGTAACCCGTGTAGGCGATAGATGTTATCGAAGAATGCCTAGGCAACTTGAGGAGCACTGAACGGGTGGGACAACAGTATGAAATGCGCATATTTGCTGAACCGGTCCACCACCACTAGCAGACAATCAGCAGAACCAGACCGAGGTAGACCTTCTATGAAGTCCATAGATATGACTTGCCAAGACTCGGTGGGAACTGGGAGCGGGGCCAACAGACCTGGGTACTTAGCATGATCCGGCTTGGCCTGGGCACATGTAGCACAAGACTGGACATAATCCTTGACAGCAGCCTTCATCCCACGCCAGGAAAATAGTTTCTTGATCTTGCTGAAAGTGACTGGGAAACCAGAGTGACCGCCCACTGCGCTGGAATGCAGGACATAGATCAGCTGTTGTTGAAGACCGGGATTATGACCCACCCAGATGCGCCCTTTCTTGCGTAAGACGCCATTAGACAGTGAGAAAGGGGGATGAGCATCTGGGGCCAATAGTAGTTCTTGTATCAATTGAGTAGCAGCAGGATCTTTGTCATAGCCTGACACCACCAGCTCAACTGAATGCCGTCTCCTCATCAACACCGGTATGGCGGTTTCCCTATTTATTTGCAGGTCTCTCGTACAAGATTCTATCAGTTACAGCGGATTCAAGGGATGGAGCCAGATCTACTATCCGCTTGCTGTCCCTAAGCTGATAATTGCCCGAGCCTATTTGGTTTTTTCCAGGGAGGGGCACATAGCGATAGATACTTTAGAAACCTATCACTAAGAAGCGGGCTCACTAAAAACAAAACTATTCGTATTTCTTTAAAACGCTGCTGCCCTAGCCGGGGGTCTGTCTATAGAAGAAGGGAATCTAGAGGAAGAAGCAGCTCCCCGAAGGAATCCTTCTAACTACCACCTACCTACCTCCCGCTTTTGTTCGGACAAGGCGAGTTTCCTAAGATTCACCCACCGCAGATACACTAAGCGTTCTTCCCGTTGGTAAATCTGATTCTTGCAAATCTACATCTGACTTAGAAGCTTCATGGGGTCTGGTCTCGCCATTTGGCAATTTAAGCCAAACAAAATACAGTACAGAGGTTATAACCAATACACAAGCAGGCGTGAACCAGTCAGAAATTCTAATGGAGAAGTAGACAAAGAAGAGGAGGGGGCAGTATCGATAGCCGCCTTTTCACTTATTGCTAGGAGTGATTGTGAGAGAATACATGACATAGGTGAAAGCCAAAAGGCATATATGGCCCACTCAGCCCAATGGAAGTGATTTGAAACTGACGTTTCTTTAGAATTCGATTAAGAATAAGAACATAGACCAGCTTCTAGAAAAAGAGACGTGCCCTCTTCTCTATTTGTAGATTCAGGAGTAACATGCTGGTTCCTTTTGTCATAATACCTAACGGCTGTGGGCAGAATGAATGAAAAAGCAGATGAAAGACACTATACATACCAATAGAATGATAAATTTGGAATAAAGCTAGGTGACGTCACGACATTTGAGAACCAATTGCTTCTTTTGCTTTTCACCAACCTTCATGTACAATCTTATTTCGTATTGGAGTACAGCCTATCGTAGGCCCAGCAAAGGCAAGACGGAAAGCAAGCATTAAGTGAAGAAGCAAGGTCCAAACAAAGTAGTGAAAGATTTACATTGAAAAGCTTCTCCATGTCTATATCTGTCCGATGGACCAAGTTCAAAGGAAACGGCTTCTCTACTGCATCAAAAAACCAATCCAAGCCTGAAAAGGAGAGTTGCGGTTAACAATTCCTATAAATTGAGAAAGAATCATGTTCTTCATGCCCAAAAGCGGATAAAGTAGATGGAACCTGTTCTCTAACCTTCTTTTTTAGCAGATACTGCATAAAGTTTACCTGCCTTGTAAGGCTTTTGTAGGATTAATCAAATTTGGTTTTTCTCGTTCTATCTCAGAGTATTCATTCATTCGATCTTGCTATCCGCTCTCAATTGAGTCCCTTCTCTGTTGTCGACAGGTGTGTCTGCATCAGGACCAGAATCACGGTCTAGTACCTCCGTACTCGCTCCTACTTTATTAATTAGGAAGTGAAGTAGCCCCGTCTTATTTTCTCGAAATGCGTATAGAGATCCTAGTTTGGGCTAGGATTGGCTCCGGTCTATGCCTTGCTTGACCCAAGAGCCGCCCTTAAGCAAGGCAGGCATACGCCTACCTATACGTCATATAACGAAGATGGAAAAAAAATCGATGCACCCTTAAATCGGTATTGGAAAGTGTTCAGTTGAATTTTCCATTCAGAAATGTTCCCCGTAGTATATTTCCGTTGGTGCACTCTTTCTTAATTAGGTTTGTAATTTGGCTTTATCTTCCGTTTTTATTGGTTTTGTAATGGAAGTTTGTGTTCGTGTTCGAATTTGTTTTTCGTTGGGTATCACCCACGCCACTAAAATCAGTCTCCTTTCTCTTTTCGGTTCGTGAGCAGAGCTTCCAAAGACACATATGTGCCTCTATGTTGATGTTTTTCAGAGATATAGATAATATAAAACCCATATATCAATTTTTTTTACTCGAAACGTCACTCCTTATTCTTTTATGCCTAGGTTCTGCTTTGATACTCCAACCTTCCTTGAGACACTTGAAAGGGAGAACCGGGAAGCGGCGCAAAAAGCCGGCTGCATCGCCTTCCATGAGCTATGTTACTCATGGT